ACTATTTAATGATATATTTTTTTCTTCAATATTTAAAAAGGTCTAATTAAATTGGTGATGAAGGTGCATCAGGCTTAGGTTCTGCTTTAGCAAATTGCATTAATCTCTCAAATTTGACACTACTCCTTTCGTAAAAACAGTTTATTTGTTTTGGATTGTGATATTTTTAATTATAAAAACTAATTAAAAACAATAAAGCTCTTTTTCTTTTTCTTTTTATTGTGCTTGCTTTTTTTTGTTCTTTCTTTGTTAATTTAGCTCATCATTTTATTTTCAACTTTTGCTTTTATTATTTATTTCCTATTATTTCATATTTTTTCTTCATTTTTTCCTTCTAATTAACTATTTAATGATATATTTTTTCTTCAATATTTAAAAAGGTATAATAAAATTGGTGCAATTGGTGCATCATGCTTAGGTTCTGCTTTAGCAAATTGCATTAATCTCTCAAATTTGACACTTGACCTTTAGTAAAAATAGTTTATTTGTTTTGGATTGTGATATTTTTAATTATAAAAACTAATTAAAAACAATAAAGCTCTTTTTTCTTTTTCTTTTTATTGTGCTTGCTTTTTTTTGTTCTTTCTTTGTTAATTTAGCTCATCATTTTATTTTCAACTTTTGCTTTTATTATTTATTTCTTATTATTTCATATTTTTTCTTCATTTTTTCCTTCTAATTAACTATTTAATGATATATTTTTTCTTCAATATTTAAAAAGATTTAATGAAATTGGTGATAAAGGTGCATCAGGCTTAGGTTCTGCTTTAGCAAATTGCATTAATCTCTCAAATTTGACACTTGATCTTCGGTAAAAACAGTTTATTTGTTTTGGATTGTGATATTTTTAATTATAAAAACTAATTAAAAACAATAAAGCTCTTTTTTCTTTTTCTTTTTATTGTGCTTGCTTTTTTTTGTTCTTTCTTTGTTAATTTAGCTCATCATTTTATTTTCAACTTTTGCTTTTATTATTTATTTCCTATTATTTCATATTTTTTCTTCATTTTTTCCTTCTAATTAACTATTTAATGATATATTTTTTCTTCAATATTTAAAAAGGTATAATAAAATTGGTGCAATTGGTGCATCAGGCTTAGGCTCTGCTTTAGCAAATTGCATTAATCTCTCAAATTTGACACTTGGGCTTGAGTAAAAAGAGTTTATTTGTTTTGGATTGTGATATTTTTAATTATAAAAACTAATTAAAAACAAAAAAGCTCATTGAATTTATTTGTTTATTTTAAAATTTACACAAATTTATTTAAAAATTTTTAGCTCAATAAATATATCATAAAGATTCAAATTACTTAGCAAGTGTCGTAAATCAAAAAGATTAGTTGTCTTTAATTTCTATTGATAAACAACTGGTGAAAAAAGGATGAATAAATATAAAATTTTTGAATAGTATTATATATTTTATTATATAATATTTTGAAAGAGTATTTTTAACCTAAAATATAAATAGATAGATAAATAGAATTTATTATTGATTTTATATTTATAAATATCATTCATATTTTTGTAAGTAAATAAATTATTTGTAAATAATAAAAAAATAAAATTTACTTAAATAAATTAAATCCTAATAAGTAAAGCCTCTGGTTTCTCCAAAAACAATCAAATAATTTGAAACTTTTAGTGTAATATTACATCCTATTAAATTATATAAATGCCAAACTTTTATATGCCAGTTATATTTTAATCTTAAATATTATCCATCAATCATATTTCTATCCTTTTTTTATTTATCATGATTAATTAGATGCCATGATTTAAATAAAATCTCAGCGAGAAATCAAGTTTTACTTTTTATTTTAACTTTATTTGTTTTAATGTTTTTTTCTTCTTTTTTTCTCAAATTTGTAATTTATCTTATGATCATTTTTTTCATTTTATATTTTTTAATCATAAAATAATTGTTTTTTAAATTATCATTTATTCATTCAGACAATACAAATTTGATTTTTTATTTAATAATATTTAGAGTAAATTAATGAATTTAAAAGCCGTTAATATTGAATTTGGCTTTTTATAAGCTTATTTCATATCAAGAATTTATGTAATTTTTTTTTAATGTGGTATTATAAATTTTAAAATGCTTATCTTATTTTTTATTATAAAATATACTGTCAAAGTTAAAAAAAATATTGTAAAAATATATGCTTAATATAACCCTACTAAATATAAATAAATTTAAAATCAAATCTATTAAAAAAGATCCAAAATTTAATAATAAAAATTAATAAGTAGAATGATAACCTTGATTTTTTGAAATAAACTTTTATTTCTTTTTTATTTAATTGATTATTTTTAAATTTATTGATAAAAATAAAATAGAATATTTAATTTAAGTTATTATAGCGTATTAATTTTTTTGAGTAACTTTCATATTTTATGAATAATTCTTAAAATTCATTTTATTAAACAAAATAATTTTTTTATAAATAAGAAATAATATTAAACAATAATTAAAATTAAGAAATTATTTTATTTAATTATTATTTGAAGAAATAAAAGAAAATTTTGAAGGAAGAACAAAATATTAAATTTAAATTGATAAAAAATGAGAAAATTGATAGATAGAAATATTGATAATAAGCGATTGTTTGCTGTTTAAAACATTCATTTCTATATTAAATTATTAGATAGAAAAGTTGATATATGAATGTCAAAATTTATCAGATGAGCAGTTTGAATAAAATTTATATAAATGCAATAATAAATAGGGAACTAAATAAAGATGAAAGTATAGTTCTAGCATGTAATTACAAATTTTAATTATTTATAGACTTATTCAAGATCCAAATAAAAATAAAGATAAATAGATATATAGATATATAATGAACCAATAAATTTTAGATAGACAGACACACCCAAAAATAAAAATAATTATTGGAGTAGTTTATCATAGCGGCTAAATAAATTAAAGCAATCATAAATTTTATGATAAATCTTGAGAGATAAAAAGATGCAATGACTTTTTCAATTAAATTAGATAATAAGCAAGCAATATATTTTTAATGATTTTTGAGTTTATTAATTAATTATATATTATTAATGGCATGAAATGGAGTAATTATATAAGAAAGCAAAAAACCAATTTATCAAATTTTGAATTAATTATTAAATAGAATTTTTGTTAAGTATTTATAAATATTTTTAGAGAGGTTGTGGTCATCAGTAATGAAGCCAATAAATTAATCAAATAATTTATTTATTTATAATTAATTATACAAATATTTTTATAAGGTGGATGTATGAAATAAATGATATAAGCTAGTGGATGATAAATGCATAGGTAAGTAAAAATAAATAATTATATAAATTAACAAATATATTTATAAATCTCAAATGTTAATTGACTTAAAGAAAAGAAGAAAAGAATATCTATATATATATATCTATCTATTTATAAATCTATCAATGTATCTATCTATCTGTGTATTTAGTTATTTATCTATTAAATTCTTTAGTTATTTCAATCACTCTTAAGTTCTTATTAGATTTTTTCTTTGCTTTAGTTGATTACATATTATTATTTCAGTTTTGAGCAAGCAAATCAATGAATTAATAAATATACAAATGAATGAAGGAATTAATTATTAATTGATTGGCTTGCTATTTTGTTTTTGTTTGATTGTTTGTTTCTTTGTTTGTTTGTTTGCTCTTGATTAGCTTTTTTGTTTGTTTATTTATTTATTAATTTATTTTAAGTAGGTGAAGAAGAAAGAAAGAAATTAATTAATTAAGTAATTAAAAAGTTCAAAAAGTGAGTATTGTTAATAAAAATATATATCTTTATTAGTGAATGAAGAATCAGGAATTTAATAACTCAGCTCAAAAATCATCAACCTACAAATTACCAATAAAGAAAAATAGCATGGGTTCCACGAGTAATTAAACGGCAACATTTAATACGAGTGCAAGTTTAATAAGCAAAGATACTTCTTTTTTAAAGCAGAGTAAAATGAGCAAGTTTTTTTTTTAGTTTAGTCGAGAATTTTTGGGTTTAGGTTTGATTGGTATCTTTCATTTTGGATCAGTTTTTGTTATATTTAGTTGGATGTTGGATATCATCTGCCAAGCGCAAAAATTTTTTATTTACAAGGGAAATGTATGCTAAAGCTTATTATTTTATACAATAGAAATGATGTTCAATTAGCAGTCGTAGCAGGGAACAGATTTGCCACTGATAAATTCAAATACTATTTCAAGTTTTATGAATAGACCATTTTCGGAGGATACTCCAAATTAAATGAACAAGATTGAAGGGAAGAAAACGATATTTAATAGAAAAACAACTATTTAGTAAAAACAAAATCAGCTTTAATAGCAACAAGTATAGCAGCAGACTATTTAAAATTCCAATTAGGGTGCATCTTTGTCTGTTTTGCAGTCAGGACAGGCTCTTCCAAAGCTTAAAATATAAAATGATAGTGTCAACAATGCAGCAAATTAAAATTTAGGTGAATCTTCGACAGCTGAAAAAGCTGTTGAAGAGCAAGAGCGCAAAAAGCCTCAAGGCTTTGTAGAAAAGATTAGGCAACTCAAGAATGTAAATGCAAAATAAGTAGAAAACGATTAGTAGCAAAATATCAATGTGAACAACAGCAAAGTAAATAAACTACAATCACCAGCGACCACGATGGCTTTCAGGTCTTTGAAGCATAATGAAGATATCCAATTATATCTAAATAATTATGAAGACCATGAAGAGGAAGATGAAGAAGAAATTGAATATAAAATTAATAGAGAGGTAAAAAAATAAATAAATATTATTATTTATAACTTAAATGTATCAACCCAATAAATTATTCATTCATTTACTTAAAGCTCCAAATGCCAAACCTTGATTAGCATACTTATTTCTACTTTATATCTCTTTTTAAATTTAATTAATCCATGTGTTGACTTCGACAAATAAATGCATTCATGGTTCAGTCAAATATATTAAAAAAAAATAGTGTCAAGCCAAATCGATTAAAAATTATATCAATAAGCGGATTGCTCAAATCATTTATTTAGTTTTTATGAAGCTTGCTTTGCAATTAAAATTATTTTAAATGACTAAAAAAATTAAAAAAACAAACAAATCGAGTTTAAAAAATTTAAAATAAATATATAAAAGGATACTTAGTTTTCAGACGAATCAGCAAATAGTCCAAATAAATCAAATAAATTCCAGCTCTCTTCTTCAGATGCTAGCAATGGACTCCAATCAACAAATGGCAAATCTATAAATTTATTGCAGCAGAAAAAAGAAAATTAAGCAAATACTTAGCAGTAAGAAGAATTAATCTCTGTGAACAATAGCAATGCTAAAAATATAGATTTCTATAAAGATGAATCAAAAAATAATCAAGAAGAAAAAAAAACATTTAAAAACGACCAAGATCAAATCATTTAGACAAAAAGCATCAGAGAGAGATTCTCCTTACCAGAAAAACCGAAAGATTCTCAAATACCTCCAATAAAAGAAATCAGCAGAGCTAATAGTCAAAAAGATAATTCCACTTCACAGTCACCTTCGATACTTGCTCAAAGCGAGCTAGAAAATTCAAAAGCCGAAGTAATAAACCAAAATTTAATTAATTAGAAAAAAATATAATTTGAAGCTTAAAATTGATTGAAAGAATGATTTATCTATTCCCTATTAATTAATTAGGCTATTTTTTAGTAAGTTTAAAAAAGAGTAATTCACTCCTAATTTTTCTTATTTAAATCGTATTACAAATTTAAACTTCAAGATTTACTTTTCCAAACAACTATCAAAAAAAATAAACAGCTTAACAAATATTTAAATAAATTAATTAATAATTGACCACCTCTATATTCAAATCTCTCAAATTATTAATAGGCTTCTCTATAAAAAATTGTCAAATGGAAGTCAGGCGATTTCATAGGTGCAGGAAGCTTTGGTCAAGTATTTACAGCCATGAACTGCAACACTGGAGAAATATTTGTCGTCAAAAAGATCATGGTCCATGGTCAATCGAAGTTAGACAAAGAATTTTTGGATGAATAAGAAGTACCTATTTTTTTCTCTCCTTTTAAAAATAAAGATTTATTAATTATTTTAAATTATTTTATTAAGCAGCTAAAAAATTTTTTTGGCTGAAAAATATTTTCCGTTTTCAATATTTTTTACAGGATATTTTTTAGCACTTAATATTTGAAAATGATTAAAAATTAATTACGAAATAAGATAAAAAAATCTTATTTGTTGTTGAATTTAATGAAATAATATTTGTTAATTCTTTCTTTGTACAATGAAAAACACAAAAAATGTGGCATTTATTTAGAATTGATTTAGCTTTTACAAATTTGCTTTAAATTAAAAAAAACAATTTTTTATTATTTTAATAGAAAGAACTAAGGATCATGCAAACATTATCTCATAAACACATAATTTAATATAAAGGACATGAGAGATAATAAGATTGCTTGTGTATATTTTTGGAATACATGAGCGAAGGAAATATTGATTAGATGCTGAAGAAGTTTGGGCCTTTGGAGGAATAGACAATTAAGGTTTATGCTAGACAAATATTAAGTGGAATTCAATATCTCCACTCACAAAAAGTGATACATAAAGATATCAAAGGCGCTAATATACTTGTTGGATCAGATGGCATAGTTAAGTTATCTGATTTTGGCTGCGCTAAGTAATTAGAACTCACTTTAAATAGTAACAAAGAAATGAATAAAACACTAAAGGGCTCGGTTCCTTGGATGTCTCCTGAAATAGTAACCTAGACTAAATATGATACAAAGGCTGACATTTGGTCATTTGGTTGCACAATACTTGAAATGGCTCAAGCAGAAGCTCCATGGTCAAACTATTAGTTTGACAATCCGATTGCAGCTATAATGAAAATAGGTCTTAGCGATGAAATCCCACAAATCCCAGAAACAATCTCTCCTGACCTCAATCAGTTCATCAGAAAGTGCTTGCAGAGAGATCCTTCTAAAAGGCCAACTGCAACTGAGCTTTTAAACGACTCTTTCTTAGCTGAAAATTGAAACAAAAACAAAAAAGCTTCCTCTTTCCCTGAAAAAAATCTTATTCTCTCTCGCCTAAATTTTGTCCACAAAAAAATTTGTTTAAATGAAATTTGCTTAATTAATTTAAAGTGAAACTAATATTTTGCTTTCTAAAACTGCTCCCTAATTTATTGATCAATTAAATAATATCATGTAATCCTATTTATAAGAAATCTCTACAAACCTTGCATGGACCAATTTAATTTAATTGGTTAATCAATAAATTTATGAGCTATCAACATCAATAAATGTTAAAAAAACACCAATAAATATATTAATAAATAAATAAATAAATAAATAAATAAATAAATAATAACTAGGATATTTATAATAACATAACTAGCTTTGTAGTCTGTCTGTTCACACAAAGCAAATAACTTACAAATGAATGATTAAATAAATATATAATATGAAATTAAGAAAATAATAAAGACAATTTCAAATAATTACTACTTATTTATGACAACAACAACAACAATAACAACCATAATAACAACAATTACAATATAAATAAACTCATTTAATAAATAAAATTAACTTTAAATAAATTTGTTTACTTACTATTTATTTTTATATTTTATAGCACTTCCTCAAATTTCTAAAAATGTCATTTTACTTTAATTCGTTTTTGTTTTTACATGTTTTTATTGAATATTTTATCAATTTAAAATAGAAATTACCAGATTTTAAATAATAATATAAAAGGTCTTACATCAGTTAATATATTAATATACTTTTATAACTAATTAAATTTCCATAAACTGCTATTCAATATTTTTGAAAATAAAAAAAAATTAATGATTTGAGAGAAATAAATAACATTTTTAGAATCTAGAAGAAGTAAATATTTACTTTTAATTAATATTGTATCAATTAATTTTTATTAATAGCAAAGTTTTTAAGCTCTTCACTTTAATCATTTTAATTGTTGTTGGTTCTCAATGTTAATCTGAAATAGTCTTTAATGTATGTATATTTGATATATTAATATTATTATTTTCAAATCTAAATTATCATTTATATTTATTCAATTTTATTTATACAAATAATTTGTGGGTAATATACTAGAAGGGAAGGGTCACCTAACCCTTATGGCATTTCTACTAGCCTTCCATGATTTTGCTATTAAAAGTAAAATTTGATTTATCTATGAGGTTTTATTTAAATCATGGATTCTAATTAATCATGGTAAATAAAAAAAGGATAGAAATATAATTGATGGGTAATATTTGAGATTCAAATATAACTGGCACGTAAAAGCTTCGAATTTATATAATTTAAAAAGATATAATATAACACTAAAAGTTTTAAATTATTTGATAGTTTTTGAAGGAACAGGAAGGTCTGTTTAAGAGGAATTAATTTATTTAACTAAATTTTATTTTTTTATTTTTACATATAATTTATTTACTTACAAAAATAAATATGAATGATATTTATAATAAAAAACAATAATAAAATCTAATATATTTTAGGTTAAAAAAACTTTTTCAAAATATTAAAAAATAAAAAAACCTTTTATATTCAATTATTAAAACATTTAATATTTATTCGTCCTATTTTCGCCATTTACTTATCATCACCAATCTTTTTAAAAGACAACTAATCTTTTTGATTTAAGACACTTGCTTATTACTTTGAATTTTTAAGATTCATTCATTGACCTAAAATTTTATAATAGATTTGTGTAAGTTTTAAATAAATATCAAAAATAATAAGCTTTCAATTAAAAATTATTTCTTAAATTAATAAATAAATAAATAAATAAATAAAATAGCATAAGTGGAATAAAAAAGATAAAAAATAAATCAAATAAAAGATAACAAATAAATTCAAATAGCTTTTTTGTTTTAAATTAGTTTTATAATTCAAAATATCACAATCTAAAACAAATAAACTGTTTGTACCCTAGTAAAAGTGTCAAATTTGAGAGATTATTGCAATTTGCTAAAGCAGAACCTAAGTTTGATGCGCCTTCATCACCAATTTCACTGTTACTTTTTAAATATTGAAGAAAAAATATATCATTAAATAGTTAATTAGAAGGAAAAAATGAAGAGAGAATATGAAATAATAAGATAGATTAGTTCATAATAAAAGCAAAAGTTGAAAATAAAATGATGAGTTAAATAAACAAAGAAAGAACAAAAAAAAAAGCAAGCACAATAAAAACAAAAAGAAAAAAGAGCTTTATTGTTATTAATTAGTTTTTATAATTTTAAATATCACAATGAAAAACAAATAAACTGTTTTTACTCAATATAAAGTGTCATATTTGAGAGATTAATGCAATTTGCTAAACCAGAACCTAAGCCTTATGCACCTTCATCACCAATTTAATTGTAACTTTTTAAATATTGAAGAAATAATATATCATTAAATAGTTAATTAAAAGGAAAAAATGAAGAAAGAATATGAAATAATAAGATAGATTAATTAATTATAAAAGCAAAAGTTAAAAATAAAATGATTATTTAAATAAACAAAGAAAGAACAAAAAAAAAACAAGCACAATAAAAAGAAAAAGAAAAAAGAGTTTTATTGTTTTAAATTAGTTTTTATAATTAAAAATATCACAATCCAAAACAAATAAACTATTTTTACTGAAGGTCAAGTGTCAAATTTGAGAGATTAATGCAATTTGCTAAAGCAGAACCTAAGCCTGATGCACCTTCATCACCAATTTAATTGTCACTTTTTAAATATTGAAGAAAAAATATATCATTAAATAGTTAATTAGAAGGAAAAAAATGAAGAGAGAATATGAAATAATAAGATAGATTAGTTAATAATAAAACAAGAATTGAAAATAAAATGATGAGTTAAATAAACAAAGAAAGAACAAAAAAAAAAAGCACAAAAAAAAGAAAAAGAAAAATGAGCTTAATTGTTTTTAATTAGTTTTTATAATTAAAAATATCACAATCCAAAACAAATAAACTCTTTTTACCCAAGATCAAGTGTCAAATTTGAGAGATTAATGCAATTTGCTAAAGCAGAACCTAAGCCTGATGTACCTTCATCACCAATTTAATTGCCACTTTTTAAATATTGAGGAAAAAATATATCATTAAATAGTTAATTAGAAGGAAAAAATGAAGAAAAAAGATGAAATAATAAGATAGATTAGTTAAAAATAAAAGCAAAAGTTGAAAATAAAATGATGATATAAATAAAAAAAGAAAGAACAAAAAAAAAAAAAAAGCAAGCACAATAAAAAGAAAAAGAAAAATGAGCTTTATTGTTTTAAATTTGTTTTTATAATTAAAAATATCACAATCCAAAACAAATAAACTCTTTTTACGAAAGGTCAAGTGTCAAATTTGAGAGATTAATGCAATTTGCTAAACCAGAACCTAAGCCTGATGCACCTTCATCACCAATTTAATTGTAACTTTTTAATATTGAAGAAATAATATATCATTAAATAGTTAATTAGAAGGAAAAAATGAAGAAAGAATATGAAATAATAAGATAGATTAGTTAATAATAAAATTCAAAAATTGAAAATAAAATGATGAGATAAATAAACAAAGAAAGAACAAAAAAAAACAAAGCACAATAATAAAAAAAAGAAAAATGAGCTTTATTGTTTTAAATTTGTTTTTATAATTAAAAATATCACAATCCAAAACAAATAAACTGTTTTTACTAAAGGTTAAGTGTCAAATTTGAGAGATTAATGCAATTTGCTAAAGCAGAACCTAAGCCTGATGCACCTCCATCACCAATTTTATTCCTACTTTAAATATTGAAGAAAAAATCTATCATTTTTTAGTTAATTAGAAGGAAAAAATGAAGAAAAAAGATGAAATAATAAGATAGATTAGTTAATAATAAAAGCAAAAGTTGAAAATAAAATAATGAGTTAAATAAAATAAGAAAGAACAAAAAAAAAACAAGCACAATTATAAGAAAAAGAAAAATGAGCTTTATTGTTTTAAATTAGTTTTTATAATTAAAAATATCACTATCCAAAACAAATAAACTCTTTTTACCCAAGAAAAAGTTTCAAATTTGAGAGATTAATGCAATTAGCTAAACCAGAACCTAAGACTGATGCACCTTCATCACCAATTTCATTGCCACTTTTTAAATATTGAAGAAAAAATATATCATTAAATTTAATTAGAAGGAAAAAATAAAGAGAGAACATGAAATAATAAGATAGATTAGTTAATAATAAAAGCAAAAATTGAAAATAAAATGATGATATAAATAAACAAAGAAAGAACAAAAAAAAACAAAGCACAATAAAAAGAAAAAGAAAAATGAGCTTTATTGTTTTAAATTTGTTTTTATAATTAAAAATATCACAATCCAAAACAAATAAACTCTTTTTACGAAAGGTTAAGTGTCAAATTTGAGAGATTAATGCAATTTGCTAAAGCAGAACCTAAGCCTGATGTACCTTCATCACCAATTTAATTGCCACTTTTTAAATATTGAGGAAAAAATATATCATTAAATAGTTAATTAGAAGGAAAAAATGAAGAAAAAAGATGAAATAATAAGATAGATTAGTTAATAATAAAAGAAAAGTTGAAAATAAAATGATGAGATAAATAAACAAAGAAAGAACAAAAAAAAACAAAGCTCAATAAAAAGAAAAAGAAAAATGAGCTTTATTGTTTTAAATTAGTTTTTATAATTAAAAATATCACAATCCAAAACAAATAAACTATTTTTACTGAAGGTCAAGTTTCAAATTTGAGAGATTAATGCAATTTGCTAAAGCAGAACCTAAGCCTGATGCACCCATTGCACCAATTTAATTGTCACTTTTTAAATATTGAAGAAAAAATATATCATTAAATAGTTAATTAGAAGGAAAAAATAAAGAGAGAACATGAAATAATAAGATAGATTAGTTAATAATAAAAGCAAAAATTGAAAATAAAATGATGATATAAATAAACAAAGAAAGAACAAAAAAAAACAAAGCACAATAAAAAGAAAAAGAAAAATGAGCTTTATTGTTTTAAATTTGTTTTTATAATTAAAAATATCACAATCCAAAACAAATAAACTCTTTTTACGAAAGGTTAAGTGTCAAATTTGAGAGATTAATGCAATTTGCTAAAGCAGAACCTAAGCCTGATGCTCCCTTTGCACAAATTTTATTCCGACTTTTTAAATATTGAAGAAAAAATCTATCATTAAATAGTTAATTAGAAGGAAAAAATAAAGAGAGAATATGAAATAATAAGATAGATTAGTTAATAATAAAAGAAAAGTTGAAAATAAAATGATGAGTTAAATAAAAAAAGAAAGAACAAAAAAAAACAAGTACAATAAAAAGAAAAAGAAAAATGAGCTTTATTGTTTTAAATTAGTTTTTATAATTAAAAATATCACTATCCAAAACAAATAAACTCTTTTTACCCAAGAAAAAGTTTCAAATTTGAGAGATTAATGCAATTTGCTAAAGCAGAACCTAAGCCTGATGCACCTTCATCACCAATTTCATTGTCACTTTTTAAATATTGAAGAAAAAATCTATCATTAAATAGAGTAAGTTGCCATACAAATTTATAAAAAGCGAATTTTTTATATAGATTTTTACATTTTATAAAAGTAAAATTTTAAATATTTTTTAAGAATTTTTTTTCATCCCAGGATTGTAAAAAATTTTTCAAAATTTATTTTTTTCAAAAAAAATGATATGTTATAAGAATAAATATACTGTGTAAATAAGTTATTTCAAATTTTGCATTTTGTGAATTAAACCTTTCTAAAAACTCAAAAATAAAGCTGTTTTAAACTAATTTAGCTTTATTTATTATGTTATTAAGATATATTACATTTCGCCTTTTATAAATTAAATAGGCATTTAACTTTAGTTAATTAGGAGGAAAAAATGAAGAAAAAATATGTAAATAATAAGATTAATTAATAATTAATAAAATTAAAAAATAATGAAAAAGTAAGAAATCATAATAAAAAGAAAAAGGAAAACAAATCAAATCAAATAAATTAAAAGAGCTTTAATGTTTTAAATTAACTTTTATAATTAAAAATATTACAATCCAAAAAAAATAAACTGTTTTTATTTAGTGTAAGTTTTAATAGCAAAAAATGAAGAATATATATCAAATAATAAAAAATGAATAATAAATAAATAATTAAAAATTGAAATGAAAATTAAGTTAAAATAGCTAATAAATTATTGTTTTAATAAAAAATCAATAAATAATTATGATAATTTCTATTATAAAAATTATTTATTTAAATAAATTGAAATTTAAATATATAAAAAATATTAATAATAATAAAAGTAATTTTTTTAATTAAATATACTTCAGATAAATATCGATAACCTAATGAGATAAAAGTGAAGAGCTTTTAAACTTTTTTTATTAATTTATATAAATTTAAAGGATATTAATAAAAAAATTAATAATTACTTCATCTAAATCATAGTAATATTTAATCTATTATATCATTTATTTTTCTTTTCAAAGATATTAAATAGCAATTTATGAAATTTAATTAATTAATTATAAATGGATAAAAAGAACAAATAAATTTAATAATTAATTATCATATTAATTTATATATTTGATTTTATTAAGAGATATCACAGAAAAATTAATTTAACATTCACTATTTAAACTTAATATTTGCATTTAAAACAAATACTTAAAAATATATATAGTAGGAATTAAAGATGGCCGGTCAGTTATTTATTTAGTCATATTTGAAAAAATTATAGTAGTTAATATTAAAAGTTTTGATTGTTTTTGACTAAAACAGAGGGCTAGTTTTAGAGATATTCATTTATTTATTTATTTAACTAAATTTAATTTATGAACTCTCATTTATTTAATAAGCTATCTACTAATTTACCAAAATAAATATGATATTCATAAATATAAATATAAAAGAAAAATAAATCTATCTATCTATACTTTTGATTAAATTATCTTATTACAAAATATAATATAAGAAAACATATTATTTTCAACTAGTCATATATTTAATATTTATACATCCTTTTTCATCACTTGTCTATCACCAGAAAAGTATTTTAAAGGCAACTAATCTTTTTGATTTACGACATTTTCTTAATTATTTTTATTCATTGAATTACTTCATGTTTCTATATTATATTAAATTATATAGAATAAAATTTTTGAATTAAAAATTATATTTTTAAATAAAAAAATCATTAACAAAATAAAAAAGAAAAAGATAATTAAATCTAATAAAAAGCTAATAAACAAATTAAAAGTTTTAATTGTTTTAAATTTATTTTTCTTTATAAATATCACAATCCAAACAAATAAACTGTTTTTACCCAAGATTAAGTGTCAAATTTGATAGTTTAGTGCACTTTGCTAAAGCATTTCCTAAGCTTTAAGTACCTTAATTACCAATTTAATTGTAACTTTTTAAATATTGAAGAAAAAATATGTAATTTGTAAATTATTTAGAAGGAAAAAATAAATGAAGAAAAAATATGAATTTATCAGAGATGAATTAACAAATAATAAAAGCAAATGTTGAAAATTAAAAATGAGTTAAATTATGAAAGATAGAAGAAATAAAAACACAAGTACGTACAATAAAAAGGAAAAATATTAATAAATATAATAAAAAACTAATAAACGAATTAAAAGAGTTTAAATGGTTTAAATTCATTTTTATAAATAAAAATATCACAATCCAAAACAAATAAACTTTTTTACCCAAGGTCAAGTGTCAAATTTGAGAGATTAGTGCAATTTGCTAAAGAAGAACCTAAGCCTGAAGTACCTTAGTCACCAATTTAATTTCCACTTTTTAAAAATTGAAGAAAAAATATATAATTAATAAGTTATTTAGAAAGATAGAAGAAAAAACACAAGTATAATAAAAAAGAAAAAGGTTAATAAATCTAATAAAAAGCAAATAAACGAATTTAAAGAGTTTAATTGCTTTAAATTCATTTTTATAAATAAAAATATCACAATCCTAACAAAACAAATAAACTGTTTTTACCCAAGATCAAGTGTCAAATTTGAGAGATTAATGCAATTTATTAAAGCACAACCTAAGCATGATGCCCCACTTGCACCAATTTAATTGTAACTTTTGAAAAATTGAAGAAATAATATATAATTAATAAGTTATTAAGAAAGATAGAAGAAATACAAACACAACAAGTACAATAAAAAAGAAAAAGATAAATAAATGTAATAAAAGCTAATAAACAAATTAAAAGAGTTTAATTGTTTTAAAATCATTTTTATTAATAGAAATATCATAATCCAAAACAAATAAACTGTTTTTACCGAAGGTCAAGTATCAAATTTGAAAGATTAGTGCAATTAATTAAAGCAGAACATAAGGCTGAAGTACCTTAATTACCAATTTAGTTAGTACTTTTTATATATTGAAGAAAAAATATCTAATTTATAAGTTATTTAGAAATATAGTAGAAATAAAAACACAAGATCAATAAAAAAGAAAGAAAAAGATTAATAAATCTAATAAAAAGTTAATAAACAAATTAAAAAATTTTAATTGTTTTAACTAGTTTTTCTATAAAAATATTACAATCCAAAACAAATAAACTGTTTTTACCTTAGATAAAGTTTCAAATTTGAGAGATTAATGCAATTTGCTAAAGCATAACCTAAGCCTGATGCACCACTTGCACCAATTTAATTTTTACTTTTTAAATATTGAAGAAAAATATTTAGAAAGATAGAAGAAATATAAACAAAAGTATTTACAATAAAAAAGAAAAAGATTAATAAATCTAATAAAAAGCTAATAAATAAATTAAAAGAGTTTAATTGTTTTAAATTCACTTTTATTAATAGAAATATCACAATCCAAAACAAATAAACTATTTTTACCGAAGATAAAGTGTCAAATTTGAGAGATTAATACAATTTGCTAAAGCAGAGCCTAAGCCTGATGCACCACTTGCACCAATTTAATTGTAACTTTTTAAATATTGAAGAATAAATATATAATTAATAAGTTATTTAGAAAGATAAAAGAAATACAAACACAAGTAAGTACAATAAAAAAGAAAAAGATTAATAAATTTAATAAAAAGCTAATAAATAAATTAAAAGAGTTTAATTGTTTTAAATTCATTTTTATAAATAGAAATATCGCAATCCAAAGCAAAGAAACTGTTTTTACCCAAGATCAAGTGTCAAATTTGAGAGATTAATACAATTTGCTAAAGCAGAGCCTAAGCCTGACACACCACTTGCACTAATATCATTGTAACTTTTTAAATATTAAAGAAAAAATATATAATTAATGATAAATTATTTAAAAAGATAGAAGAAATACAAAAACAAGTATGTACAATAAAAAAATAAAAGATTAATAAATGCAATAAAAAGCAAAAAAACAAATTAAAAGATTTAATTGTTTTAAATTCATTTTTATAAATAGAAATATCATAATCTAAAACTAATAGACTGCTTTTACCGAAGATTAAGTGTTAAATTTGAGAGATTAGAGCAATTTGCTAAAGCAGTTTCTAAGTATGAAGTACCTTAATCACCAACTTAACTGTAACTTTTTAAATATTGAAGACAAAATATATAATTAATAAATTATTTAGAAGGAAAAAATGAAGAAAAAATATGAAATTATCAGAAATGAATTAACGAAACATAAAGTCAAGTGTTGAAAATAAAAAATAAGTGAAATTTTGAAAGATAGAAGAAAAAAAACGCAAATACAATAAAAAAGAAAAAGATTAATAAATCCAATTAACAAATTAAAAGGGTTTAATTATTTTAAAATCATTTTTATAAATAGAAATATCATAATCCAAAATAAATAAACTGTTTTTATTAAATAAAAGTGTTAAAAGGAAAAAATATATTAAAAATATCTAATAAATTTAAAGTTTGTAAAGTGAAAAAAATGACTAAAAAAATAATTTTTATAAATAAATTTTTGAATAGAATATAATTGATAATTTCTATTAGAAAAATAATATTTTTAATAAACTGAATAATAAATATATAGAAAATATTAATAATAATTATAATAATAATATTTTAAAATTAATTATACCTAAGATCAATATGGAGAGCCTAATAAGATTAAAGTGAAGAGTTTAAAATCTTTTTTTATTTTTAAAAATAAATTGAAAGTTAATAAGAAAAAACAAGAAATTACTTCTTCAAATTTTTTATAATATTTAATCTATTACATCATTTATTTTTTTTTTTCAAAAATATTGAATAACAATTTATGAAAATTTAATTAATTATAAGTAAATAAAAAGAACAAATATATTATATGAATTTATAAATTACAAAAAAGATAGTGTAATTAACTTTGATTATTAAATCTTAATATTTCTATTTAAAATGTGTAGTTAAAAATAAAATAGGAACTATAGATTGGATATTAAGGATAGTGAGAATGCGAACTC